CCTTCTGCTAAACAAATTATCCACAAAAAGCAGTTCTGCTTATGTCTTGATAGCCGTGGTAGAACTGTGAACACCTGTAGGTATGCCTGAGGGGCCTTCAACCTGAAATAGCTTTGAAATATGTTTATTATGGGATACCCTTGAGTTTTATATGAGCTTGAAATAAATCACTAGACTTGATTTTATTTTTTTTTTTTTAATTAATAAATCTCATGTTCCCGCACTGCCGAAAACCTTGCCCAGCTGCTACCCTGATCCTCCATCCCTGCAGTGAGGGGCTGTTTCTTCCCTGGGGACGTTGCCCCTCCCCAGCCATGTTCTTGCCCAAGAAGTGATTTGTCATGACGTGTGTGGCAAGGGAGGGCATCTGATACCAGATCCGCCTTCATTTTCAATGCGGAGATGAAACTCCCAATGGTTTGGGAACACCAAGTCATGTTTATTTTGCGAGACACCATTTAGTGAAATGGCTAGGTAGGAAACAAAAGGTCTACTGTTATTGTTAGACAGTGTGTTTTGGAAGTAGAGGCCTTGAGCCAAATCCTGGAGGACACTTAGCATCCACAGCTCCTTGGGTGTTAGTGGTGGTGGAAGGACGAAGGAGAGCAGCTCTCACCTGTGGAGAAGCTTGGTCCACTGCACCTGGAGGCACTTCTTAGGCAAAGATGACATCAGACTGCACAGCCTGACCTCTGCCTTTTGCTTTTGTTCACCACGGAGCGTGTCCTCCTTGGAGCTTTGTGTGGAACACAAAACAGTGCATAAGTCACTGGAGTTTGGGGTGGCCCGGACCTGTAGCCTCACCTAGGGTGAAATGTCTCAGGAAGATCTCAGTTTCTCCAGCATTCCCCTATGATTGGTCCAGCTCAGCCTCAGGGGTCCATCCAAGCCTACCCGGGGGCTCTGTGCAAAGATCCCGGCTGCAGTGTGTCTCTGCAGACCTCCCTGGCTCATCTCTCACCTTCTTGCTGAGCTGGGCCATCTTTCCGCCTCCTTTCCATTTTCTGTCTTTGCAAATAGCCTCAGCTGGGACTCTCCCATATTCTTCTGTGTTGTGTCGAACTCCTCTGTTCAGGCCATTGAATGTCTAAAACTTGCCATAAATATCGACTCAGCAAGGAGTAAACCAGTCCTTCACCGGTCCTTTGGCATCTCGTGATGTTTCTGTGCCTCAGAATAAACCCGCGTTTGTCCTGAAATCCAGAGTTTATTTTTTTAGTCAAACTGGTCTTGACTTTCACAGTAGCTTTGGAAAATAAATCCATTAACACATCTCCTGTGGGTATCTTGCTCATAGTTGGCTGCAGTTTATGGCACGGATTTCTTTGGGGTTTTTTCAGAGGGCTTTTTTTCTATCTTCTGTAGCATTTTTTTTTTTCTTGGTGCGCAGTGCTGGGCTCCTCCCCATTTCCCGGAGCTCCAGACTGAGTGTCAACCACCACTGCTGGGCAGGGTGGATAGGTTGGCCCCATCGCTGTGGTCTTAGTAGGATGCAGGCATCAATAGGATCTCTCCATCACTCTGGTGGCAGTTAAGCAAAGCCTAGGACTTGTGTTGTCCTAGAAAGCAATGAAATTCATAGGGGATGCTCTAGTGAAGTGCTCTTGTTGTCATCTTACTCCAATTCAAAGTTTAGGACTGCCATATCCCTCCTTTTGGGGAGGTGGGCAGGTGTCCAGCTGAAAGCAATCCTGGCTGATGTGGATTTGGGTAAGGTTCAAGTGGGAAGGAGACTGCGTGAGCAAATTGAGGTATGAAGACACTTAAGTAAACAGGTCTGTCTTCCTTCTGAAGGGAAAAAATAGTTTTCCCTCTCTGTGTGTGTTGGGAATTCCCATGGCTCACCAAATGAGAGTTTTGTAAGATTGGCCTGAGGCCTGCCTTTCTCCATTAGTCTGAATCCGTGTCCCTCGGGAGCTTGTTTGGGAGCAGTTGGTGGATGAGACAATTCCTGACATGGTGGGACTTGTAAATCCTCAGCCTTGTTCCTGCAGTTGTAATTACTTTCTCATAGTAGGGGAGTTAGCGTAAGGCCAAGAGGAAGGGATTTAAGCCAGAGCTTATGACTGGTGTCTTGGAAAAATGAAGAGGATTTTTGATTTCGTAGTTGATGCTGTGGTGACAAAATTGAAGCATTGGATTTAATAGCTCACTCAGTTAATTAAGTTTCTTAGCGTGTATTTTCTCACCTTTTATGCTGGGTTTTAGCCGAAGCTGATGAAGTACCAATCTCACTTGACCGTACTGTAAATTACATTTAGTAATATTTTTGCCTACATGTTGTTCTCAGCATGTTATTGACGTTGGTGTGCAATGTATACTGCTGTTCCATTTCTGGTATACAAGGTGCTATTCATTGGAAAGTTAATGCCTCAGTCCAGCATTGCATCTAAATAAAACAACCTTTCTCCTTTTCCATAATTAATGAGGAAACATTTTAAAGCCCTGCTGCTGAAGCTGGGCTTTATGGTGCAGTGTGGATAGCAGGCTGGGGCTTCTTGAAGCTACACGATGCAGTCTGAGGTGGAAGATGACTTTCATTCTTGGAGGCTGTGTCCACATCAGCAAGTAACACAGCCCGTAGATTTGCAGAGAAAGCGGTTGCTGCTGAGAATCTGATGTCTGCATGACTCATCTTACAGGGGAGGTTATCCTGGAGTAGCTGTTCCTGTGGGCTGAGCACCCATCGGGTGTTGGGGTGTGTTATCTATGCCCCTTTTGTCCTCAGGTTTAGGTTCACCCTGGTGGTTTTGGGTATGCGGACTCAGAAGAGGAGGGTCGGGGATGGGTAATCAGAAAGAACAAGGTCATGAAAATGGCGGTGAACCAGCAAAGTGAAACCTCTGTCAAAGTAAGAGGTGGTGCCTATTGACTGGGGAAGATAAGTAAGATAAGAGATAAGTGAGTTTACCTATGAGAGATTGGCAGATTCACCTGAGAGTTTTATTTGATAAGAGACATGGGGGAGGTGGGTGACTATTGGTGAGGTTGTTTTTCACTTTTAAGGTTATAAGGAAGGATGGGGTGCCACCCAGGAAGTTATTTAGGAAGATGAGGACTAGTAGGAAACTGGCATGGTGCAAAAGGGACTTTTCAGTGAGAAGTCGGGGACTGGGAGAGGAAAATGGGTATCTCTTGGTAGAGGAGATACCCACTGGAGTTCTTAGTGGTTGCTCTTGGGATGCTCTTGTTGCTTCTTCTGATGGTTCCTCTTGATGCAAGAAGTGGAAGGGTGCTAATGAGATATACTGCTGCTCAGAGGGTGGTTCAGAGGTGAACAGTTGCAGACAGGGCAAGGGTCTGGCCATGGCTTTGGAGCTTGGATTGCTTACCTTTGCAAAATGAAGGCTGAGAAGTCATGACTGATCTCTAAAGGTACACTAAGGTCACCACCGGAGTGGGGAAAGGCTATTCTTGGCACAAGAGCATTTGAGTAAACGCTGCCTACTAAAGCATTTTGGCTGGAGAGTAGAGGAGTGTTGGTGGAGCTTTCCAACAGTGGAGATAAGGCACCTAGAAATTTTTAAGGGAAGCCTTGATGTTACACCATGGTTGCCTGTGACAACTGGGGCTAGACTTGGCAGTGTAAAAAGCAAGAAATTCCTTCTAATGCTGTGCTCATGGATTCAGGTAATGCTGTGAGGAGGCGCTCTCTAGCTGCTCTCTAAAGGCAAGGACGATTTTGAAGCAACGTACTTCATTTTTTTCAGAAAGAGCAAGACAAAACTTCCATACCTGGGCTGCGTCCAAGGACCTAAATCTTGAAGGGACAGACTCCCTAACGGCACTGGTTCCACAGATGTCTTGGAGGAGCTGACCCCACTGCTGGCCGTGCTGGTTTGACCGATTTTAGCTTTTAGTGAGTGCTGTTCCTGTCTACGTGAGGTGGACGCCTATGCAGACAGTTGAATTTGTAGGCTTGATGAGTTGCATAGCAAAATCTTCCCACGGTGTAGCACTGCAAGATGCTTGTCTCTCATGGGAAGAGAAATTCCAGAAGGATTTCCTAAGGGATCCCTCCTCAGAGAGGGGTTTGCTTTACCCCGCTCCTAATCTCATCATAATGTCCTAAGCAGGGGAGCTGTGCCTGAGCTGCTCACATGCTGAAGGCGCTGCACGCCGCTGTTTGACTGTGCCAGTAGGTCCATCCACAGGAATAGTGCAGTTGCTGAAATGGGACCATGGCTGGAAACCCTGCCCCACGCTTTTGTTTAACACCCCTGTCATGCAGTGCTTCTGTCCTGGGTGGGACAGAGACATTCAGGGAGCCCCAGCGTGCTCTCACTTCAATCCTTGCAAATGAAAAATAGCTTGAGCCTTTGCCTCAGCACATCCAAGTTAAATAAAACTCGATTCTCTGTGTCCTTTTTCCTAAATTATATCTGTTTCAGCCCGCACAGTTGTAGGCAGCAGCAGCCTATGCTGCTGCCCGTGGCTGGAGCTTACAGAGGGGAAGTGTCCCAGCGGGTCTGTTTGGCTGCAAATGGTGTCACTGACTGCGGCACGTGGTCATGTTGTACTCTAGGCAGAGTAGCACGTGTGCTGCCTTATTCTGGGATGTAATGCCCAGTTCGTAGTTCACCCCAAGACTTAAAAAATATATGTAAGTACATCTCTCTCTATATATATATGTCTCTCTTTATTTCCCAGCCCAGGAAAACTGCTCTGAAATCTGAAAGATGGGCTATGCGTTTTCGGCTTGACCACTTGTCTGTGGACTGGGGGGTTGTGGAGTGGGGTGGGAGCTGGGGTGGAGGGCCATGTCTCTCCCAGGATGGTGTCAGCTTTGCAGCGTGACTGGGAGCGGGAAGCAGAAAACGCCTGTTTTAATTCTCTGTGCTACGCATAGGTAAATTGCCAAAGGAGATATTTTGCCATGTGAAAAGGTAGAAAGTGGGAAGATTCGTTTGTTGAAATGTAACAGGGGTGTAGCAGTGTACCTGTGCAGTGATGCTGTTGCAGGGAGTATCCTGGTACAGGGAGTAATGGTGGCATCTTTCTTGCAGGCCCAAAGACAAAGATGGAGTGTCAGAAAATTATCAATTTTGGAAACCAGCTTCTTCGCCGGAAAAACGTGGACTGCACTCGCGAAGACAGTCGGCTCTCGCGATGCCTCAACACATTTGACTTAGTGGCTCTGGGTGTAGGCAGCACTTTGGGTGCAGGTGTCTACGTACTGGCTGGAGCTGTGGCACGGGAAAACGCAGGACCTGCCATCGTTATCTCCTTCTTGATTGCCGCCTTGGCTTCAGTGCTGGCTGGACTCTGCTATGGAGAATTCGGTGCTCGAGTTCCTAAGACTGGATCAGCATATCTCTACAGCTACGTGACCGTGGGCGAGCTGTGGGCCTTCATCACAGGGTGGAATTTAATCCTCTCCTATGTTATTGGTAAGTACGGGGGGTGCGCTGCGAGACCCTAGCTTTAGTCCAGGGTGGCAGCCTGATTTGTAAGATCAGCCTTGTTTGGGTGCCCATGTTACTGTTACAAAATAGATACTGCACTCTTTGCGCTCACCTAGGATTTCGGGACTCGTCTGTGGGGTGCGTTGTTGGTGGCTCCTGTCAGTCGGCGAGGTGAGTAATGTGCTGCAGGCTGAGGGTTTGTCCTGAAGCTGGATTGTTGTTGGTGTGACTTCCTCTGGATCTCCACATCATCCCTTTGGCATCCCCTGGCTGCTGCACCCTCGCCAGGGAGCAAAAGTGTGTCCCTTCTGCTGAGAAAGAAGCTGCTGACAGAAGGATGCTTTTACACAGCAGCTCATCAAGGATTAATTCCTGGTCCCTTTGAGACCTGTTTAAAGTATCCGGAAATCAGACTTTTGTCTCATGAATGGCTGCAGGATTAAGTTTAGGGTGATCTGCAGGTTCGCATTCTCTGAAATGTCCAAGCCAAATCGCTTCTAAGCCCTTGACTCCCACTAGGAGAGGCCTTGGATTAAGGTCAGATCGTGCAATGTACAACTCAGCTGATACATTAAAACTAAGCTGCACTTTGCTAATTAAGGATTCATGTCTTTTCAGGCACATTCTGGGCATGCTGCTTGTCATCGTGCGTGTAATTAAGGCTGCAACCAGCTTGCAAGTTGAGAGTAAAGATTTACTAGTTAAAATGAAAACCGATGTTTTGCTAAATTATTAAAGGGAGGGTTTTAAAAAAAAAAATTATGCATTTTAAGGGATGTGTAACTGTTACCTTGGAGATTAGTTCCCATGGTGCTGGGGAGGGTAAGATTATATCAAGAATGATATAGTGACGCAGCAGCTGCTCCTCTGAGATTGGGCTGGCTCTGCTCTGTGTACTACCTGAAACCTTTTTCTCCTCCTCCTTTTATTTTTGGGGTTTTTTTTTAATAACAAATGAGAGGATGAAAAGCCAGAGTCAATTAAACTCATCTCCGTAGGAAATCTGAGTCCTGCGGTTCTTTTGTGAATCAGGTTCACTGCAAGGAGGGGATAAAAATAGTTTTAAAAAAAAGTAAGCGTATAATTTCCTCCAGACTTCTAAAATGGACTCTGCTTAGGCAACACGTAGGAAAATTGAACTGACTTCTTGGTGATTTATCTTCTGTTCCCGAAAGGTAATGATAAATTGTCTCCTCCATGCTCCTCATCTAGTTAGCTATTTGGCCCTTCCCAGCATGATACTGGACCACTAAAATGACTGACATAGTCGTGGATGCTGTCCCAGAACCTGATTCTGCAAATGCACGATGAAAAGATTTGCATACTGAAAGTTACACTCCCAGGATCTGGGGTGAGGCTGGTATTTCTGAGACTTTTTTTTTTTTTGTCTTCTCATAATGGCTTTTGAACGACTGCCTCAGTTTTCATTTCAGAGTTGACTGCTCAGTGTATTATCACAAGGCAGAAAACTCAGTAAAAAAAAAAAAAAAGCACATATTATCCATGAATGTGTTCAAACACAACTTTGTTACTTTTAATTCAGTCCTGTGACAAAACTGCGTATTTGCAACTGGCTTCCTCATAATTTGAGAGGAAGGGTGGCTGAGCAGGAAAAACAACTGGGGGAGGATATGAGCTATAGCAGGTCTCTTTTCTTTATCTTACCCAGCCTTTCTCCCTGCGCTAATTGCCCCTCTTGTGAGGAAGGACAACTCCCAGCAGCTTCGGGGGCGTGGAGAAGAAAGATACCTTGGCAGGCACACGCTGCAGTTCAGAGCCGGGGGTTGAGAGGGGCAGAAAGCCAATTTTTTTTCCCTCAGTCGTGCTGCAGAAAATGCCAAGTAGCGCTACCGAAACCAGGTGGGGTGGTGGGAGCTTGCATCTGTAAAGGGGCTCGGCCAACTTGGTGTTTTCACACTGAGGTTCTCGGACATCTGTTCATAAAGTGTTGTGGGGGTGGAAAAAGAAATCCTGGGGTCCTGTGATGGGTTGCCAATAGCTTGTAATTAATTGAAGTGATTTGGCTTGGCATAGGACTGGTGTGTGGAGCCTTGGAGGTGGCTGAGGAGCAAAAATGGGCGTTCAACTGGTTGGTCGTGGTCTAGACAGAAGGAAGAGGATGTCCAGGACCAGGATCTGGTGTGAACTTTCTTCTGGGATGATGTGGGTTTGGGGAACCGTGCCAGATTGTGGGAAGTATTTCAGGAACTGGAAGCTGGTGGGAGCTGGTAATGCGATGAGTAACAGCATCCCTGGAGAGTAGCTGCTGCGGGGGTTTCCTGGGGCAGGTGGTGACCTCCGAGCCTGCGCCTGTTCCTGCAGCGAGCCCTGCACTGGAGCTCAGCAGCTCTCCTGGGAGCCATGCGCTGCAGGCAGGAGCCAGCTCTGTCTGGCAAGGTTATGCTGACCCAGGACTAGTAAATCCTCCTGGATATGAGCCGAATGCTTTTGCGCCGTGCTCTCTAGCAACAGTAAGATATTATCCAGGTGTCTGCTATGTTGGAAGAATGTCAGATTCCCCCTGCTCCCTCAAGGCTGTTAGTTACAGAGAGTTCGGGATAAACAGCTGATGGTTACATGGAACTGGCATCCAAGCAACTGGCATCTAATATAGCACGTGCAGGAGCTGGTTGTTCCTGCCCTAGAACATGGAATATTAGAGCCAGGACAAACAAAATAGCACTAAAGAAATAATCTCTTCCCTCAAATTGTGCCAAAGTTAAGATGAAAAATCGTAATGTGGTATACAATAACTTTTGTAGTTCTCCAAGATGAAATTGATGGCACTGGTGTTCCACCTCTTTAAAAGCATTCACGCTGTGCACCTTGCTGTCTCAGTGAACAGAAGAGTCTCCAAACAGGTCTGTTCTGCAGCTTATTTTAATACTGACACAATGCTGGATTGGGGGGGTGAGTGTTCCCAGCTGCAGAGGGTTTAGCTGGGGGTGAGCAGGGACATTGTTTGACAGGACTGCAGGTGCTGGCGCTGGGACCTGAGCGGCCGCCCGCAGGTGAGTGTGTCAGGACAAACTGTTCGAGGTAGAAAGGGGCCCTGACGGCGTCCCCTGAGGAACTGCTCTGCAAACCAAAATCGATCCAACCTCTTTTTTTAACCAGGCAATTATGTACAGTAGTAATTATATCATGCAATTAGGTGCTGTTATATATAGTGTACTATATAAGACATCGGTAGTATAACTACAACCACTTTAACGCAATAGAGGGAGAAGTTGGCTATTACCTAAACCTACTTATTTTACTCAATGCTGTCACTGTTTGATGGTGGCTCTTTGTTGTTACTACTTCAGTTCTCTGAAATGACTCTTCTGGCCCAGACAGTGTCTTGGTTGTCCTTGGTTAACCCAGACTTGGTTGTCCTGAGACCCCCTGGCAAGCTGTGTGTGGCTTGGTGCTCTCAGGAACTGCAGCGAACAGCAGTCCCAGAGAGGGGAAGTCTAAGCACCTGCTGCAGGCAGGAGTTGTGCTGCTTGCTGGGATCATCACCAACATCCTGCAATAGGCTGACTTACACTTAGATAACCTGTAAATTATATCTGAGTCCTTATCCTGCTCAGATGTTCTAGCACCAGAGGTCAGAGAAGACCTGCATGTTGCTGGAGTGCAGAGCTTACAGAGCTGGGCGAGTGTTGCGGTCCAGGCTCTGGTGTTCCACCATTGCGCTGCCGGAGGCTGGCTGGCTTCTGTAAGGTCCTTCTGCCTGGGCTGCAGTCACCCAGCCGGGGCTGCCAGGGACATCTGCTGGTATGAGAAGGGACTCAGACCTCTCTAGTAGTAGAAATTACCAGGTTTGGGGGAAAAGGAAAAGGTCAGCCTAGGCTGTATCTTAAAGCAAAGTCGAGATTTACTAAGAAGCCAAACCACTTTAAGGATTTTTTTTTTTTTATCTTGTCAGCTGACCATAAGTCTGAGACCCACCACCCGTGTGTGTCAGCATCAAAGCAGATGCTAGGCATGAACGCAGGCTGTGGGCTGGATCTGCAGAGGAAACGCTCCTCCCAGCACCTGGGAAGTATATGCAAGATTGCTTTGAGGCCCTCTACGACCGAAAACCATGCAAAGTGCCCCCTCTTTGGAACGTGTGCCAACCACAAAGGGTTATCTGTGTCCTTTCTGTCCTCTGGCAGGAACCTCGAGTGTGGCCAGAGCCTGGAGCGCGACGTTTGATGAAATCATAGGCCAGCACATTGAAGAATTTTGTAAAAAATACATGACGATGGATGCTCCCGGAGTGCTAGCAAAATACCCAGACATCTTTGCCGTGGTGATAATCATCATCCTAACAGGTAAAACCTTGGAGAGGTTTCTGAGCCTTGGACCTCCTTCTACTGTAATTTGATCGTTTGCTTTTGGAATAGGCACAAAGTCTTGATTTATTTTGGACGACATATTAAAGACCCTTTCTTTGCTACAAGTGTTGGATTGACCTATATAGCTGCTGTGGAGTTAGCACGGGGCATAGCCTGGTTATAGGATTTTTAATTAAAGGGGAGCATTCTCGATATTTTTTTGAGCCGCTTTTAAAACCTTCGATCAAATTTTATATAAGGAAGAAAAGAAAAGATGACTTGTTATCCTCAGTCAGGTATGGAAGTTTAATCCTTCCCGCCACAAATCCTATTACATAAGAATTTCATTCTGTGGCTTTATCAACCTTATTCCCCCTTTGATAATCTGCCAATTTTTGGTGCCTTGAGCCAGAAAAATGAGAAAAGAGATGGGACTCAGTAGCAACCTCATGTGCTACTGTTTTGGGGTTTTTTTTAAGTATATATGGGCTTCAGTTTGCAGCAGTGAATGGTCCAGAGAAATAAATGTGTGATATACAGTCAGGTCCTTTTTTTTTTTTTTTTTTCCTAAAAATGTGCCAAGGTCTTGATCAAAATTTGGAAAAGGTTTGAAAATTTGTAAAATTAAAATCCTTCTGAACTTTTACCTCTATTCCAACTAGATCTTGCAAAGCATTGCCAAGTTTAGGCAGTAACAAAAATTATGCTTCTCATGTACCCCTCTGTGGTTTCCAGAACGCAGAAGCTTGTGTCGCCCCCAACAAGGTTATCCCGACATTTCCCACTCTGATCAGGACAGCTGTCTCGCAGCATGAGCTGTGCTCATGGGGACAGGCTTCAGAAGCAAGGGATGCTTTGGCATCTGGGTTTGCATTTGGATCTAGCACTGACTACATCTGAATGGGAGAGAAGATTTTCCTCTTTGTTCATCTGTATATAATAGGAATTGCTCTAGTTTCAAATTAGAACCTGGTCTTTCAACTCAGATATAATTTACGTATTTTAGAACTCCTCACCTTAGCACTACCAAGGTGTAAAATGATACAGGTTACCAATGGCTTTATTCCCCTGTGTGGAGCAAATTCCCTGGATTTTAATTAAAAAAGCAAGCCATTCTTTTCTACAAAAAGCTGCTGAGTGAGCAGCTTTGGTCCCAAATATAAGCACTACAAGTTTATTTCTGCTTGCACCATCTTGAGTATCAGATTTCTTACAAGTTTTCCTGGGCAGGCACGTAGTTTTCTCACGCGCTTCCCTGATGTGGCTGTTCTGGCTGTTTCCTATATTAAAAGAACGAAAGGTGAGTGCACAGGGTGCTCCCCTGTCCTTGAAGTGCTTTGGAGTAGCAGTAAGGACACCCTGTTGTGATTCTCTTCCTCAGGCCCGTGTGAAGTTTTTTACCTTCTCCCTCAGCTGCTGCCTTAGATTTGGGTTAAAGGTTTGGGTTCTTGAAAATCAGGCACCTAAAGAGCAAACACAAGTTACCAGAGCTTGTCATTCTGAGAGGCTGAGCTACGCCTCCGTGAGACTCTGGTTGCCAATGCCTGTAAACGTGCTCTTCTTCAGATGGATGCTCTTAAGACCACAGGCTGAAATCCCGCTCTTATTGAACTCACTGGCAAAGCTCCTGCTGATTGAAATGGGAGCAGGATTCCCAAGATGCCACCTTCTTCTGTGTCTTCAACACTAGAAGTAGCTGTCCTCCTGGATTCAGTCCCTGCTCACATTTTCCCCTGCTTCTAAGGAAAGTTGAATGTTGTTCATAACTTCTGCCTGTAGCCAAGACCTCTAAGACAATGTTCCTTCATGAAAAACCACCTGGGGTGCTGGGTGGAGTTTGAATCTGTGTCTAGGTGGCACAGCATAGCACCCTGAGGTGAGCAGAGCTGGCGCTGAAAGTGTTGGAAGCAACTTACCTGTGTTAGCAAAGCACTTTACCAGGATAACATGCCAAATGGGCGTGCTGCGTGGGAAGCTGTGTCACATCCCACAATAGTAATGTCTGGGCTGGAGTCCTCATCTTTCTTCTGAGTGAGTTAATCCTGACCTACCTGAGCTACTTGGCTTTGTGGAGAAATGAGGTGTGGTAAGTTGGGCACAGCACAGCATGAAAAGAGCTGGGCTACCTCTGCAAGCCCCCAGCGCCTGCTGCTGGTGGCAGAATACCTGACTGCCTATTTTTTTTCCCCAGGGCTTTTAATTTTTGGCGTGAAGGAATCTGCCCTGGTGAACAAAGTGTTTACCTGCATCAACATCCTTGTCCTCGGGTTCGTCATGGTCTCTGGCTTCGTGAAAGGGTCTATTAAAAACTGGCAGTTGACTGAACAGGACATTTACAACACCAGCCACAGCGTTTATGGAGCCAAGTAGGTTGGATCTTTTCTTCTCGGCTCTGAAATTGATGCATTTTCAATGGCAAGTTTAAAGGGAGGTTTGTGGAGTGATTTAGAAAACCAGTGAATGGGATGGCTCTCTCCTTTGCCAAACGCCTTGGAAGCAAAGCTGGTTTTGGTGGCTGTTTGCTGAAAGCAGGCTGTGCTGATGGGCTGAAACTGATAGGAGGTAGGCTGTGTCAACGTGGGCCCTGCTGCAGAACTGACCATTTCAAGCCTCATGACCAATACAGCATCCAAATTTGACAGAAAAGAGCTTTTCAGACAGCTTACAACTCAAGGCTAGACCAGACTGGCTGTGGTGCCTGTATGATGCTGTGACCAAGTGTAGCGCTCTCACTTCTTTGGACACTCGGGCGATATTGTTGAGGCACCGCTGTACCTTTTGGAGACCTTGTCCCAAATGCCTCAGTAAAATGAAGCCAAGTTGCAGATTATTTTAAAGCATTGTTGCAGATTATTTTAAAGCATTGCTGCAAGCATATCACAAATCCATTTTCAATGACATTTTGCTGCTTGGCCAAAATTCTGTCTTCGATACAAGATTAAAATTAAAGAGCTTATGAGGGTTGCCAGTGATACAAGGCTGTTCATTTTTGCTTGAGACTGTACAACACAGAATGAGGGCCTTTAAATATCTCTACGTACATCAGCTCAGTCCTGGCTTGCTAGCTAAAGCCTTTATGCTGGCCTGCAAGGAAGCACAGTTTGGTAAAAACTGGAGAGATTCATAAATGCTGCATGGGTCAAGTTTGGCTTGTGTACAAGCTGCTTATTGAGCCTCTGCAAAATTCAGCCTGCTGCGAACAAATTGCTTCTGTAGGAAGGGTCCTCCCTCCTTCCCTACTGCTATTCCCATGCAAGGAGCAATTAGTGCAAGAGCTTCAAAGTGTAACTGTAGCTGTTTGACCCATAGCACTTGCTATTTTTGTAAAATCTGCCTGGGGTTTACTTTATTTTATCGTTATATCCAGAGTAATCCATGTTTGGGTTGTGCTATTTCTGCAAGTAACAGGCCAGTTTTCATCTAAGTCTCAACAGAGCTTCTATGAGAGTACAGATGCTTACACCTGATAAGACCTGCAGATTTGGGATTTAATTTAATTGCCTTAATTCATCTTTACAAAGACTTCTTCCTGAAAAAATGACCTAAGTCACTTGCACTAAAGGGTATGTTATTCATGACTCAACACGGGCACGTGGATCTGGGATCCTGATCCAGCGTGCACTGGGATTGGTATATGTCTGTCTATTGACTTTAATGAACTTTGGCTGAGGCTCAGCAAAGCATTTGGTGTGTCAGGGCTGTGGGTTCCTTTCCTCCCTCAGGGTCGCAGACATGGTTTGGATATGAGCTTGGCACAGGGAGTTTTGAAGTTGAGAATGAGGACTGGGCGAATTTTAGACAGTGATAGCACCCTGCATTGCTCTCTGATGTCTGCTCACCTGCACTTCATCTGAGCCCATCTTAGGTGAAAAGTGGATGGCTTACATTTTTCTCAGGCTTCAGCTTTCAGAGTTATGTTGTGCTTTTTCAAAAGCTTATGTTTACATGAATATGTGTATCTACACACATGCAGTAATATTAGGAGAGGAATTTTAATATAGATGCTATTTTCTCCCTGTCTTAGCCAAGACATTTTTATCCGCCCCCAAAAACAGGTGGTGGGAACAAACCATGAACCATTTTCATTCTGTGCATTCCCCAGGCTGTCGCAGGCCAGTCGAAAGCTCATCAGTGGGTAGGGCTTAGCATTTGGCCTGGTATTAGTATGCAAGTGTGTGAAAGGGAGAGCATGTTCCTTCAAATGCCAACTTTGGATTTTGTTATGAACTATGTGAATAGTTTTGTTACTCCCACCTAGGCAGGATGACATCTAACCCAGTGCCATGCCTTTTAGTCAAACGCAGGAAGAAAAGCTCTACGGTGTTGGAGGGTTTATGCCCTATGGATGGAAAGGAGTCCTCTCAGGGGCAGCCACGTGTTTTTATGCTTTCGTGGGATTTGACTGTATCGCTACTACAGGTAAGAGGGAAGATGTCTTCATTCCGCTTATGAACCTGGTTGATGGTAGAATGGCTTTCAGTAATGTTGCACAGCACAGATAATGAATAATTCAGGACACTGCATTCATCATCCATCTGAACCTCAGCCCAAAATAGATTTTTGGCTCAGCTGCTCCTAATAGTCAAAGTGCTATGTCCAAGTCCCTGGGTGCCCTGAGTGTTGACTTCTAGCTGCTGTGGCAGGCAGCTAGACCGTATAACCCACAAAACAAGCTTTCTCCCTTCTTCTTTGCCTGCAGGGCCCAATCTCATGGATGGTCTCTGATGACACTAACCAGGTCAGACTCCACAGAAAACACGTCCAGCTTTACCAGTTAGGCAAACAGGGAAGGCCCAGGTTCATATGCCTTGTATGACCAGTGAAGTTTGACCCCTAACTCTAGGTGATGCTTTAATCAACAGGTTATTCTGGAGTAGGATTATTGAGTGCCTTCAGCTGAAGGAGCTCCACTGGCTTGGAGTGTTTAAACAGCCAGAGAACGAGGGAGCCTCTGGGGAAATCTGTAGCCTAAAGCTGTGCCTCAGAATCAGGGGGAGTATTTATCTCCAAAGGTCCAGAGATCTCCATCTGAGAAAGAAACCATCAGCATTGTCATATTTCTCCTGGCTATGAAGAATCTCAATTCCCTGGAGAAAGGAAGGATTGTCCTTAATTTCACATTTGGCAAGAACTGAGTTACTTCAAAGCTGGAGCAGAGTGAGGAGATCATCACAAAGGCAGATAAAGCAGTACTGCCTCTTGTTCCAAGGAGTCTGAGAAGTGCTGGATCCATTAATCCAGCCAGCCCTAGGGCTTCTCCTTGGACGAGAAACACATTCGTCTGCCTTTGACTTATAAGAGTATGGGCCTCTGCTTATCGGTTCATCCTCCTGAAATCCTCCAAACCTCAGGATCTCTTGCTTTCAGAGAAGAGCAGCTTTGTAGGACAGGGAAGGCTCAAAGCTGTTTCCCAATTAATCCGTGCCTGAATTTTGAGGATATTTTTGTTGTTACACATTTGTACCAACTTGGTTGTCGAAAAATTTCCATAAAAACTAGAGGGAGTCCTCTTTTTTTAAGAGGGATTTTCAAAGTTCCCTATGTATGCTGTGTGAAGTCCGCTTTTCCCTGGAACTGCGCACCTATGGTGCCGTATTCACTGTGTAGTAGTTCTGGTGGAGATACTAACTGAAATGGTCACCCAAGTATTTGCCCTACAACTGCCCAATAATTTATTTTCTTGTCATTTGTGATCATTGAACTCTTCTTGGGCCTTCACCGTCAGTGGGATAGCAGAAGTAATTGGACTTAAAAGTAATCCTTTTTGGGGAAAGGACCATTTTTAATCCAGATGGTTTCTGTGCCTGAGTTTACAAGGCCTCCACAAATGTTTGTCAGAAGGAGTGACAGGAGCAGCAGAAGTGGGAGCAAGCAGGCTGTGGTATGCTCAGTGGTGGGGAAGACCATCAGCAGCATCATGGTCAAACAGCACCTCACTGCCCACGAAGCCTTTGAAAGCCCCAGCCAGCGTGCGCTAGGTTGGGATAAAGTTCTTGCTCATCGTTCAGCTGATATATCAATTTCTTTCTTCTAGGCGAGGAGGTAAAAAACCCTCAGAAGGCCATTCCTATTGGCATCGTGGCATCTCTGCTCATCTGCTTTGTGGCTTATTTTGGTGTGTCAGCTGCCCTGACGCTAATGATGCCTTACTACCAGCTGGATACGAATAGCCCTTTACCCAATGCCTTTAAATATGTGGGTTGGGATGGAGCCAATTATGCAGTGGCTGTCGGTTCCTTGTGTGCGCTTTCTACCAGGTGAGACACTGCTCTTCCTTTGTGCATCTCTCAAAGCAGATGTGTACCTCCAGCTCCTTTAAAAAAAATGGTGCATGTCAGGGCTTTGCCTTCACTGTGTTCCCCTGGGTCAAGGGAGATGAGACCAGGGATGAAACTCAGAGCTATTCAGGATTTCACCCTGTGGTAGATTTCAGAGATGCACATGACCGGTATCACTTCAGAAACTCCGATCTTAGCAGCAGACCGAGCAGGTGCATCTCTGGAATATAAATCTGGATTGAGTGACTAAGTCATGGAGGTAACTCCACAGTGCAAGCACAGTTTGCCCACGAGACATCCTGGCCTGCTGGGTGGAGAGCCGACTTGTGTCAGGTAGTGCAGGGTTCATCTTCTGGAATGTATGGGGCTTACCATACGCAGGGCTGTCTGTCTGCAGGTTGCCTGCAGGACAGCCATCTGGATGGGAGGCAGGGCAGGCTGGAGGCAGAATATGTCATCTTTTCCTGCATTCTGGAGGCCTGTTGTATCAGATCTACTTAGATGTATTCAATGAGGGGAGCAACTCATAGAGGCTCCTAGAAGTTACAGCTCTTTTGGTACCTGAAAGTAAGGCTGTTTTCATGCCCTGTGTCTAAGTTTAGGTATCCAAAATCTTAGCGTTGCGCCTCAGTTGCCAGCTATCAGCAATATGGGTGTGCAGAGGGAGCCCTTGAAGAAGCTGAAGTGAATGAAAGCCACCTGTTCTGTGTTTGTACTGCCATAAACTTGCTTTCGTTTGTGTGCCTGTGCTCAACAGGAGGTGATATAAGTAGATTATTTCCCCCTTTTGTGTCCTTAGCCTTCTTGGCTCCATGTTTCCGATGCCTCGAATAATTTATGCTATGGCAGAAGATGGACTTCTCTTTAAATTTTTGGCTAAAGTCAACGAGAAGAGAAAAACTCCAATAATTGCAACAGTGACATCAGGGGCCGTTGCAGGTAAGATCCAAAGACTTGCATGAATGCATGGAAAGGAGCCATAAGCTCGTCCTAGGGGTAGATAAGTCAGCCTGACTCTAGCCCACGTATTAATCGGATATATTGCACAGCATGACATCCCAGAGGGTGCCCTGAGTTTTCTGGGACATGCTCTGGAGGGGCTGGGTAAGCATGAATAGCTCGCTGTGTGCCTGTCCCTCTTTTCTCAGAGCTCATTGCTGCCATCCTGTCTCATGCCAAGTATTGCCTTCATCCGCTCCCCGGGTGCTCTGCTGGCCTTAAAAATAATTAGCCCCCTGCAAAGTGGCAGCCAGTGGTGCCCCAGCATCCTTGTGGCTGTTGGCCTGGCTTGGCTGAAGACACCGCACCGCCTGTGGGTAGCAGCTCAGCAGAAGACACCAGAGCAGCCGGAGACAGGCAGATGGCCCCTGTGGCACCAGCATTTGTTAACCAGTTAGTCACAGCTGGCAGCCGTCCTATTCTCCCCTTCCCTTTTCCGGCCCCCCAGGAATATGGGAATTAAACCTCCCAGACAGCAAGGACGAAAGGCTTACCCTCTTCTTCCAGCCTCCCCCTTCCTTGTGATGCCTAGTAAAGAGGAGAGCCTTGTTGCTTCCTCTTCACCTTCTGCTGCAAATGCAGGATGAGCCGTCAGTACAACGTGCCACCTTTGGTGGGGAGCTGCTGGGGAGCTGGACTGCCACTGTGGTCTCTGAGCACCTGTGAAAGGGCTCAGCTACTGCTGCTGGGACCCATAGACCCTCCTCACAGCTGCTTCTCTTGCACCTTCCTCTTCAAGTGGCCTCTGGTCCAGACTGGGGAAAAAAGAGCCAAATAAAATAAAAAAAGCACACATGAAGCTGCAGGGGCAGCGCTTACCAGCTGAGCTTAAAGGCTGGGTTGGTGGCTGGGCTCCAGGTGGAGCGTTGAGGACAGGCTGGGCCAGGCTCAACTCTGAGGTCCCTGAGCTCTCACACATCCGGTGGCATCACCTGAATGTCTGAATACGGTGTCTGTCCTCTGCTTACCTGCTTCTCCTTCTGAAGGTCTGTACAGCCAGGGGTTGCCTGGCGAGGGTGTGTAAGCAGGGCAATCCCGAAGGAATGGTAGTCTATATCTTTTTCTGGAAACCCTCATGATGAGGCATGCTAACTCAAGATGCGCACCTTGATGCTTGGTCCCGTTGTGTACACAAACCTGTTTTGGCCCCAGCTGAGCTGAGACACCAGGGTGAGGTGCTGCCTGTCCTCCATGCCCTCTACTACTTCCAGGAGATAATTGTGGCCCTTGGGGTGCTGCAGCTGTTGACTCCTGCAACAAGGCCGTGTCTTAAAGGCCTGCTCATTGCTGGTAGTTGGGTGAACATACCCATATGAGACAAACAGGCTGGTGTTTACGTAGTAAATGGTTCCTCTGCTTCCAGCTAGTGAGGCTGTGCTGGGACAGCCCACCAGGCTTGGGGTATTCATGCGCCGAGTCCTGCCTCTCCCCATCTCAGGACAGCTTGAGCTTCCCTGCTGAGCCCCGAGCAACAGTCACAGGTGTACTGCATTGTTGTTAATGCTCCTGAGATGTGCATGTTCTGCTGTATTACTGATTTTTCTTCCCTCTCTCGCCTTCCTCTCCTACAGCTGTTATGGCCTTTCTCTTCGACTTGAAAGATCTTGTGGATCTCATGTCCATTGGGACCCTCCTGGCTTACTCCTTGGTGGCTGCCTGCGTGTTGGTACTGAGGTATGGATGTAGAAACAGTCTCTCGTGTACCACACAGACAGAAATCCACACAGTGATCAGATGTCCTCATAGTTTCCATGGATCCAGTAAAACCGTGAGCGTTTCCAGCTATAAGCACGTGAAGAGCTAGTTTCTTTAAGCTCATAGAGGATTGTGCTAGTTGGATCTGCGAGGGCGTCCTCTGAACTCGGGTAACCCTTGGTCCTTGCCACTCCTGCTAAGAGATGTGTGGTCCTGGATGCCTGTATCATCATCACTGTTTTTCCCACCGGGGATACAGTTTCAGGTCATCTTACTGTTGAAAAAGGATTTAAGACAAAGTCTAGCAGCAGCAAAAAAAGCTGAGTGTGTGTTGCAGGATCAGTGCCTTAGTGCATGTCTTTTAGAAGTGCTGAGCTCCTTCAGCTTCCCTAACCTAAGCTGAAAAATGAGTATCTTCATTGCTTGGCACCTCACGGACAGCAGCACTCTACCCATGAGGACTGTATTTTGAAGATCATGTTACTGAAAAATACCTTTGTGTTTAATGACTTATTCGAAGTCTGGTGGAGGCTTTTTACCTGCTCACAGCAAAAGTTTTGAACTAAGACCTATCTTGCAGCAGGTGAAGGGCCAACACTGTACTGTAATACTGTTGCTCTTTGCCTGTGGTGTCCACCCTACCCCTTGAAAATCCTTGATAATTTTCCTTGCCTTGTCCTCTCATTTCACAGTCCCCTCCTCTCCGTACAGCTCTAAATGGCTTCTTAACTTATTTTCGCAAGCTGCTGTACCCATTGTATGGCATTGTCCCCATCATAGATTTGCAGAGCTGACACCCCCTCTTGTAGCAGCCCGGGCAACTGATTTGGCTGCCCCGTTGGCTGCCTAATGAAGTAGCAGCTGAATTGTTTCCAAAGCTGTAAGGTCCTGCCACCAATACCCTGCTGTGGCTGGAGCCAAGGATTTCGCTGCATTTCTCAATGTGCAGTGTTTCACAAATGCTCGCGTTGCAAACAGATCCCCACAGGAACAATTTTAAGGTGTCTTTCAAAATGGCCTTTTCCTTTAGTCAGGCTTATGGCTGAGAGTCGAGTGCAAAACCTTCTGTAAAAGAGAACTGAGACTGGAAGTGTGTTTTTTTGTCTTTATAGACCCACGTGGTTGCGCATCAGGGCCTGGCTGAATGAAATGCTGTCCGCACATGCAACAAAAAAATTACCATTCTTTGTTCGCTTCTTCCTTCCCTTTATGTCAGCAGGCAAACGAGCAGAAAAGATGGGGACAGACACCAGAAATGTCACCGCAGGGTGCGATATCTGCTGAGCTGTTAGTTCAGCTGCCTTCACACCAAAGCACAAGAGCTGAACTGCTACAGATAACCCAACAGCACGATTATGACTGTCTGTCTGTCCCCCTACCGCTTTCTTCTCCAGTTCTTATTGCTATCACTTCATTATGTTTTGGTGACACAGAGGATAGGGTTTATGGAAGAGCATTGTTCAGTTTAAAACACTGATATTGTAACCAAGCTGCAGGTGATGGTAACCGACCACGTTTGCTCACGTTATGACAACGTTATCCCTTGGATTTCCCCCAGAAACACAAGGGTATAGACATTATGTGTGCCTGTTCTGGCGCTATAGTGATCTGGGGTGCAGCCGTGGCTATCTGTGTGGCTTTCAAACAAACAGTACCCTGCACCAAACCAATATGCTCTTTGTTTCGTTTCCCTTTTCCCAGGTATCAGCCAGAGCAGCCTAATTTAGCGTACCAGATGGCTAGGACAACAGAGGAGACAGATAACAATGAGTCTGTGAGCACCAGTGAGTCTCAGGCTGGATTTCTGCCAGAGGAAGAGGAGAAATGTTCCTTCAAAGCCATACTGTGTCCCCCAAATTCGGACCCTTCCAAATTCTCTGGCTCGGTGGTGAACATCTCAACCTTTATCATTGGTAAGCACTGGGCAGTGAGCCAGCTGGTAGGTCCTTGTACTGACCATGGTGGGAAAGTTCACCTCCTGGGTGTAATTTTGATGAGCTCTTGTAATGGCCAAAATAACTGAAGGTCTACAGATTAAATTTATAACTTGAAAAGAAATCAATATACAGGGGGAAGGGCGCATATCTCTTACAGTTACCTTTTTCGTGTGTTGCTGTTTTGTTTGCCGAGCTTTCAGATTCTGCTTTGCCTGCTTGGGGTTTGGGGTTTTCTTTTTTTCCTGTTCCTAAAAAAAGAATCGGTAAGCTTTTGGTGTCTGTTCACAGGTTTCCTTATCGTGGGTAGCTGTATCCTGACTGCCCTTGAGCCAAGCATTCTGATAAAAGCTGTATGGATTATTGCTGCCATCCTTGTTCTTCTTGTCAGCTTCATTATATGGAAACAGCCTGAAAGCAAAACCAAGCTCTCCTTTAAGGTGCGTGTCCTGGGAGGTGTAGCTAGAAAAGACGTGGTTGGAGGAGGAGGTGTGCGTTGGCCTGTATCAGAAGGGGGGACTTGGCCAAATGGATGTGCAGAGAATGTAGGCATGATGTGAACTTTTCCATACAGGGCTGCCAGTAGAGCTGATGGTTTGAGTTCTCCCGCTAGCGTGGCGGTAACCTCTCATAGTCTGCGCTCATTGCATAAAGGGATGTCCTACCAGAGCTCAGCTCAGTGAGTGTGGTTTCCTCTTGCCGTCTAACCTCAAATGGCAGTTGCTGCAAAGCGCAGCGTGGCAGAAGCGCTGCAAGCCTGCTGCCCAGCAGTGCCCTGTGGGCACAAGCAGATTTGGCACAGAAAGCGGGGCTGAAGAGGTTAGCTGAGAGGTTGGAGGAGGGCATCAGGAGGGGAAGCCACGCATGGTCAGGTCAGAAATGACGGTAGAGGACTTTGAAGGAAATGTAAATGGTGCTGGAGGAGGGCAGAACCTGGTGCAGAGATGTGGCCAGAAGGGAGGGGCAGGACGGTGCTTTTGAAAGCATCTGTTTGTAGGATATGGAAGAGCGAGAGACCAGAGGGAAAGGGGATGGTTTTGAAGGGCCACATCAGATTGTGGATACAGGAGAAGCAAGCCCATGAAGCAAGCTTGTGTGTGAGGATCAAAGGGTTACTCACTAAAAGGCTCTAAGAAAGTGCACTTTCATGTCCCACTCATCCCTTACTCTCCATGGGGACTGAGCGTTCTCTCTTTAACAGCCTTAAGTATGAAGAACTCTGTCATTTTCCTGCCCTGTTCAAGCACACTGTCCTTTCTATATTAAACACTGGGATGGGTTTTTTTCCCCAATATAATCCTGCAAGTCATGTTTTATCATATAGATTTCAGGCAATCTCCCCAATTTATTAAATTAGTTTTGGATTCTAATCCCATCTTCCAAACTGCTCTCATTTTGACTGCTCTTCAATTACAATTTTCCAGTAAATTCTCTGATTTTAGTAATTTAATCCAGAGTTGCCCAAGGCAGTGTTTGCAGCTCATGTTGGGGTTATGGTCCCAAAAGTGGACGCAGAAATGTGTAGGAGCAAAAAACTTAGGAACTGTCATCTAGACTGTATTTTCTGATCTTTCTTCTGAGGGAATTTCTTTGCCTTACACTCAGGATATTTTACCTCCTATGTTCCCCCTCAGCCACTAACCTGTCTGGGGAAAAAAGAAGAATAGAACCTGTCACTGCTAAATCTGTAATGGCTGTTTCTTATCTCCTTGTTGTCCTTTAGACATTTACAGCCTGACTGTCTAGTGATTTTTCTCCAAAGTCTCTGGGAAACCAAGGCTGACTGGTTTGTTCCCCAGTTGTTTTTCTGTATTTCTTTTTAATAGGTAATTTGTTTCCCTTCTCCCATCTTTAGAGACCTTACCGGCCTAGCAAGAGCTCTCAGAGATGCCTATAATAGTTCAGAGATCACTTCTGCAATCTGTGGGTACATAACTCACCCCCCTAGGGAAATCTCATTTGTCCCTACTGACTTGACAAAGCCTAATTTAGAAAAATAGTCATCTTCTGTTTTCTTCCATTTCCTAATTTGTGTGTCCATCCCCTTTCTCTAATGATGTGAACAGCTGCTCACCATAAATGTGGGTTTTTTTTGGTGAAGCTTAAATCAAGAAAGACCTACAACATTTCAGCCTGTTTCTTTTTGTAAATCTCCTTTTTCCTTAGGAGCAAAGTTCACTTTCCTCTTAGTTTCACCATATTCACAAACCTATTGTTATAACTTGTCATTTCTGATTTTGTCTTTATATGCCTGTGCTGTATCTGTATATTCTGATTTTTGCATTTTGGCTTTACTGTCTCATTCTTTGTATCTCAGATCATTAAGGCATTCTTGGTACAGCTGCAGTGCTCTCTTACAGTGTTTCCTGGTGTTTTTTTTTTTTTCCTGCTCTGGGATAATTTGCTCTAAATTGCTTAATTACGTAGGTACCTGCTAGATGAAATTCCTCAGGTCCCTCCTCACACATTCCCCTTACCTTCTCCTGGTCTTCAGTAGGTGCCTGTCATGATGCAGTCCTTGGGTTTCCTCTTCTCTCCTTCCTCCCACAAGTGTTTAGTATTGCTGCTAAAACTTACCTCTTGCCTCCTTCCAGACCATAAAAGGACAAGCATTCTTAAAACAGGTGAACACCATTGTTCACATCCCTCTCCCACAGTGGATGGATGTCCTCCGTTTTGGTTTAGCCTTGCTTTTTCTCAGATCTGGCAACTGAAGAGTTGGTAACAGCCATCACGTCCCATTTACAAGGGATGCGATGTTCTTGCCTGCCTGTTGATCTGCCCCGTGGATGTAATGTATCCCTCTTTCTTTTTCAGGTACCTCTTTTGCCTCTTCTTCCTGTTGTGAGTATTTTTGTGAACGTTTACCTCATGATGCAGCTAGACATAGGCACATGGATACGGTTTGCAGTCTGGATGCTCATAGGTGAGTTTGAGAGAGTAAAAAATTGTGTATGTTCGAAGTTACTAGATTTTCTTAACCATAAATATATTGTAACATACCAGGGAGGGGTTCTGCACTCTCATCATCCTTGGGCAACCTTGGTGACTTAACTGAAGCCATTCAGGCAGCGTGTCTCAAGCCTTGTTTTAAATTCAAGGGTCATGAGGGCTTTGTGAGGACAAAACAACAACCTGTGAAACATCTTATTGGTCTTGTTGCCAACAAGAAACCGTGCAATGTTTCTTGTTGGCTGGCCTTGAAGTGGAGTCCAGGTGGTGGGGCTTGTGCTTCTAGAACTGAAGGAGCTGAGCTGCATCTCTAGCTGTGCGGAGAAGGCTGAATTGCCTGAAATGCCCAGGAAATTTGTTACGATGAAAACAAGTAAGATCAGCATCAGTTGTGGATGTATTTTACTGAGATGGAGGCTGTAGGCACACAAATGGAGAGCGAAAGCTCTCTGCAGAAGGGACTGCCATGAACTCATTGAAAAGCATGAGAAGTTTATTCTATAATCAGCCATTTGGGGCCTGGATAGATTGTCTTTTAAAGACCGATGCGTGCGTTAATAGCTTTTTGCTAAGGAAGATAGTGGCTGCCTGCTTGAAGCTAGCTGTCAGGATGGCTGGGCTTATCCCTGGTGTCACCTGTGCGGGTTGGTGTGAGTAGGGGTTTTGGTTTCCTTACAGGGCTAACAGTGCCCTCTCCCCTTGGCTTCTGCAGGCTTTATCATCTACTTTACCTACGGAATATGGCACAGTGTGGAAGCCACCTACGCGGCCTCAGCAGATGCGGAGAGAAACACGGACGCTGGTTCGGACAGCTGTAAATGACTGCATGTTTGGCTTACGGGCGACAGGGGAATGGCTGCAGTGAAGGAAGCTTTGCGGTGGGGATCCTGAACCAAGCCACGTCTGGTTAATCAGTAATGCAGGAATAAGGAAGCGTAACGCGGGACTCCCCAGCCCTGTTGCTGCAGCTTGCAGTTTGCTTAGTAGCACAGTTAAAAGGGATCACAAGGAAAAAAGCCACACCTCGGCATACTCCCGGCGACACTGTCAGCTAATCTGGGGCTACGCGCTTCCCTTCTTCCCTCCTTTGTTTTTTTTCTCCTCCAGTGTGTAGAAAGAAAACTGCTTCTGTGTGCCAGTTAACCTTAAATGCTGCTATGAAACCAGGCCTCACAAAGGTCTTTCTTTTCAGTAGCCCGGGGAATTCCTTCCCCACGGAGACTCTACCTGATTATACGTGGAGCAGATTTTGCAGTGCTACTGTCAGGCTTAGACCAGATCCGTCCTTCACCCAATGTGAGCTGTACCCCACGTGTACGCACAAAAAAAGGCTCTTGCCAAACCCCATCTTTCACCTGGTTAAGAACGCACCTGCAGGGCTTGCATTCTTTCAAGTATCAGGTCTCATATGTTTTGTTGTATTTAACTTCCTTTTTTTTTTTTTTTAAACTACATACTCATATGCTTTAAAGCGCGCCGCTGCTATGAAATGTTGAGAGGGTTTGTGGTTGCTGCTTGTCGGGTGAATGGTCGCTTGCCAGTGCGCAGGTAAAGCCAGCAGATGTTCCTGCTGTTTTTTTTCAGGAGGATTGCCAGGTTTAGCCATGAAACTCTTTGTTGCAAGTACTTGAATGGCTTGAAAAGAATGGGTGTCTCCAAAGAGCTGTCCTACCTCTTTGCCTCGGGAATCACCAGTGGGGTGGCTGCAGTGGTGGGGTGGCTAGCAGAAGTTAGCCCAGCTCTGGCAACAAGTGGGGGCCCTATTTTCCTCTCCCCGCATCAGTTTTGTGTGCTGGATGCATGGCATTAGCAAAGGATTTGGCCGTGAGACTTGGGTTGGCGTTGGCAGGTGGAGCACGTCTGTGTTCCGGGAAGGGGAAGCACAGGAAGATTCCTCAGGGGCTTGGACTTCATCCATGAGCAGTGCCTGGTGTCTGCCCCCTGCCCAGGGGAGGGCAGGTGAGCAGGAGCTCCTCGGTCCCAGTGGTCCCAGTAGAACGTGCAGTTCAGAAAACACCGTGAAGCTCTAGGGTCTGGCTTGCTGTGAGGAGTTTTCCCTTTGGGGCTGGAGATCATCTCCAGAGCCTGGCCGTTACAAAAGGTGGGAGATTCAGAATTGAGACCAGGGTCTGTTTGGTTGGCAATTGCAGGTGGAGCCTTTGTTTTGCTGTAAGATGAATTTTTTTTTTTTTTTTTTAATTCTCTCTAGTAGCTTTCCCCAGCCAAATTCACTACCCAAAAAAGGCTTGTAAAGCCTCAGGAAGGTGGGCGATGCCCGTGTATCCCACTGATTTAAATTCACACTTCAGCTTGTATTGAAAACCAAATCATAGAATCATGGAATGGTTTGGGTTGGAAGGGACCTTTGAAGATCATCTAGTCTAGTCTCCTTGCCACTAGATCAGGTTGCTCAAAGCCCTGTCCAACCTGACCTCAAACACTTGCAAGGATGGAGCATCCCAAATAGATACCGCAGAAATCCCCTCTCCCGACCTGAGTGGATGCTGTCCTAGGTGTCCTCCATGCTACTGCCTCTGAACATCAGACAATCTTGAATCTGTCAGCATGATTCTCGCTGACAAAGGGATGGGGTTTTTCTCCCTGTCATTCAGTAGCAGAATTGAAGAACAGACCCCTGCATGACTTGACCAGGGTCTCACTGGCTGTCTGGTGCAGCAGAAAGGGGAACCAGACTATCTCCTGGATTACACGGCTGGATCGTGGACCGTCTCTCACAGGTGCCCAAGAGAGACTTTATAGTCTTTCTGCCCACTGAGGAGTTTTAATCTTGTCCTCTTAGTGCCCTGGGAGGCCCTTCTTGCCAGGGTTGGAGTTGGAGGAAGTGAAGGCCATGTGTGCATTGCCTCCTGGGTGCATTTCAGGGTGTTTTGAGTGCTGTTAACCCCACAAAATGAAGTCAGGGTCTGCTCCAGTTGCTGGGTCTTGACCATCTGCCATGCTTTTGCTCCTAGTGCATGTACAAAGTCTTACTCGAGCAGGGAGAGAAGGATATAGAAATTAAAAGCCACTAGGTTGTGGTCTATTTTGTTTAAACGCAGGCAAGCTCTATGCACTCCACAGCCTCCCAAAAAGCACTGAAGATGTGGTGGGAGGGGGAGAAGATGTAAACTCAGAGAGGAGCAAAGTTTCCTGTTGTACCAAAAATGTAAGGATGTTTTTCCCTACCTTGGGTACCAGCTTCTGAGCAATTTAGACATTCGGCAATGACCATTTGGGGGTGAATTCTGACTGGAAGTCTGTTTCCAAAGAAAATTATTTAAAAATATGCAGATTTCTTGCTGTATGTAATAGCAGGAGGATTGCCAGGTTTAGCCATGAAACTCTTTGTTGCAAGTACTTGAATGGCTTGAAAAGAATGGGTGTCTCCAAAGAGCTGTCCTACCTCTTTGCCTCGGGAATCACCAGTGGGGTGGCTGCAGTGGTGGGGTGGCTAGCAGAAGTTAGCCCAGCTCTGGCAACAAGTGGGGGCCCTATTTTCCTCTCCCCGCATCAGTTTTGTGTGCTGGATGCATGGCATTAGCAAAGGATTTGGCCGTGAGACTTGGGTTGGCGTTGGCAGGTGGAGCACGTCTGTGTTCCGGGAAGGGGAAGCACAGGAAGATTCCTCAGGGGCTTGGACTTCATCCATGAGCAGTGCCTGGTGTCTGCCCCCTGCCCAGGGGAGGGCAGGTGAGCAGGAGCTCCTCGGTCCCAGTGGTCCCAGTAGAACGTGCAGTTCAGAAAACACCGTGAAGCTCTAGGGTCTGGCTTGCTGTGAGGAGTTTTCCCTTTGGGGCTGGAGATCATCTCCAGAGCCTGGCCGTTACAAAAGGTGGGAGATTCAGAATTGAGACCAGGGTCTGTTTGGTTGGCAATTGCAGGTGGAGCCTTTGTTTTGCTGTAAGATGAATTTTTTTTTTTTTTTTTTAATTCTCTCTAGTAGCTTTCCCCAGCCAAATTCACTACCCAAAAAAGGCTTGTAAAGCCTCAGGAAGGTGGGCGATGCCCGTGTATCCCACTGATTTAAATTCACACTTCAGCTTGTATTGAAAACCAAATCATAGAATCATGGAATGGTTTGGGTTGGAAGGGACCTTTGAAGATCATCTAGTCTAGTCTCCTTGCCACTAGATCAGGTTGCTCAAAGCCCTGTCCAACCTGACCTCAAACACTTGCAAGGATGGAGCATCCCAAATAGATACCGCAGAAATCCCCTCTCCCGACCTGAGTGGATGCTGTCCTAGGTGTCCTCCATGCTACTGCCTCTGAACATCAGACAATCTTGAATCTGTCAGCATGATTCTCGCTGACAAAGGGATGGGGTTTTTCTCCCTGTCATTCAGTAGCAGAATTGAAGAACAGACCCCTGCATGACTTGACCAGGGTCTCACTGGCTGTCTGGTGCAGCAGAAAGGGGAACCAGACTATCTCCTGGATTACACGGCTGGATCGTGGACCGTCTCTCACAGGTGCCCAAGAGAGACTTTATAGTCTTTCTGCCCACTGAGGAGTTTTAATCTTGTCCTCTTAGTGCCCTGGGAGGCCCTTCTTGCCAGGGTTGGAGTTGGAGGAAGTGAAGGCCATGTGTGCATTGCCTCCTGGGTGCATTTCAGGGTGTTTTGAGTGCTGTTAACCCCACAAAATGAAGTCAGGGTCTGCTCCAGTTGCTGGGTCTTGACCATCTGCCATGCTTTTGCTCCTAGTGCATGTACAAAGTCTTACTCGAGCAGGGAGAGAAGGATATAGAAATTAAAAGCCACTAGGTTGTGGTCTATTTTGTTTAAACGCAGGCAAGCTCTATGCACTCCACAGCCTCCCAAAAAGCACTGAAGATGTGGTGGGAGGGGGAGAAGATGTAAACTCAGAGAGGAGCAAAGTTTCCTGTTGTACCAAAAATGTAAGGATGTTTTTCCCTACCTTGGGTACCAGCTTCTGAGCAATTTAGACATTCGGCAATGACCATTTGGGGGTGAATTCTGACTGGAAGTCTGTTTCCAAAGAAAATTATTTAAAAATATGCAGATTTCTTGCTGTATGTAATTTTTTTTTTATAAATGTTAACTTATTTTTGTTGTCTACTTAGGAATCTGTTCTGGTATTTATATTCCATGACTTTGTTTCAGCTTTTGTGGCATATAATAGCAGCACGTAGGAGAAGGGGAAGTCCTGATGGGTGTCACTTTTCTTCAGTTGCCTCTTTTCTCTGAGAAGGTTCACAGGAAAACCTTTCTGTGTCACCAGATTTGGTATTTAAATGTGCCATTACCCGTACCAGCCCCAGAGCCACCCACCGCACATTTGCTAGTGGAGGTGAGGATCCTTAGCCCCATCTCCCACTCCTCCATCATTGACTTCTTCAACCCATCAGTTCCCTGGTGGCGGGTGCTGCTGTCCCTCTTGCTGTTTGTTGCCACTCACCAGATAGAAGGAGGTGGAGGGAGCCTGCAGTCCTGCGCAGTGACAGGGAAGTGTGGGTGTCTCCCTGGCTCTCTGTCTACCTGCTTCCCCCGTGTCCAGCTGGACCTGGGGACCTCCTGGCCTCCTCTTCGCATGACTGGACCCAGGAGGTGGGCCGGTGGGGAGGTGGCGAGTTTGACACAGCTGCGTACTCCTGCCACATCCCCTTCTGGCTGCATCCACCCCTTACTTGTACGTTTTGTAAGCTGAAAGGCAAAATTTGACTGCCTTTTTCTAGTGCAATGTCGAGGACTTTGCCAAATGGGTGGGGGTTTTATTATTTTATTTCTTTTTGCCTTCTCCTCTCCTCCCTGCTGATGTCTGCATGTAACATAGATCAAGCCAGGTGTCTTTGAAGACATGCAACTGCTGCTATAACCTTGCTGTCGTGGACGATATGCCTTCGTTCATTTGAGCTTTTCTTTGTAAATAGTTCAGTCATTATTTTATTGTGAGAATATTTTGTACAGACGCAGAGCATTTTGCTGTATGAAGAGGTGGGAATGCAGAAGCTACACCTTTGCTCAGCGTGAGGATAGATCCTTTTCTGCCAAAGCTGAGAGACACAGTAAAACTGGCTTGCCTGAGCTTTCAGGGCAGGCTCTAGCCTGAAGGACTGAC